AAGAAGTTACGCGTAGTCGGCGTAGAACAGGCTCTCTCTCTGTCTTGTAATTTTACAGTGTGAACGAAATTCTTATTAATCTTAAAAAGACGACATATAGTGCCCTATTTGTTATTTTAATCAATATATATAAGTAACAGCTTGTCTTTAATAAATTGAAACTTATCACTTAAACATAATCAGTCTCATGGCAGCGACAACGAATGAATTTGTATATGTTATACTATCTTCGTTCTAGGGTCTAATGTAATAGATGTAATCCCCAACCAAGCAAAACCATTCATCAATTCAGGCCATTTCTTGATAAATCGTCCCTTGGAGGAAACTTTCGAGGGATCATCTAATTTTCAAGTTTTGTTTTCAACCAGGGATTCATTTTGATATTTTTGTAAATTAAAGGGAGGTAATTTCCTAGTATACGATTTTTGGAACAAACTATTTTAAGTAACTTCTCGAAGGATTTCCGTCCGTATCATGTGACCAGTATACTGCACTGCCATTGGCTGAAGTTCTGGAGACGTATTACGGACTATACCGACTATATGTAAAAACATTATCAATTAAATATTAAAAATTATAAATAAAAATTATAAAAATGTAATAGGAGCAAACGTGAGATTCTCAGGCTCCTGTGGGATATAATCGTTTTCAATTTGGTTTCGTATTTGCTGAATATGATCTGTTTAAACCTACTACTCTTATACAAAATTGTATGTATATGAATTTTCGTATAATTATGACACAGTTTTATGTCAATTTCTCGAGACAGGAACATCAGATAGATGTCTTATATGTATTGTACAACTCCTGAAATTCTCAGGTTTCATCCTATACCCCCTTTCGTTTTCCTTTACAGTCCCTTTAATTTACTTCTAGAGTAAAGAGTTTTTTAAATTAATTGTCAAAGGAATCTTTTTAACCTATAAATAGATCACAAATGAAATCTATTCATGCACCTCTGACCCTTTGGTAAAAGTAAATTTAACCTAAAGTCAGACCGCGTCAACCTTGTTGCACCGGCTAGTCCTTTTGAGTGTCTGCTTTATTTACCCAATGTCCGGGCGATACAGTACAAACTGGGGCCAGAAAGGTTGACCCGGCTCAGAATTAGCCCTGCTTTTTTCTAGCTGTTAATAAGTCAAGATGGAAATTGTTTTCTCAGGATTTTTTTTTTTTTTAACTTTTAGAGGATTCACAAAAATCAGAGTGCTTATCAAAACTGGAAAATTATATGCTGGGTTTAATTTTGTGCAAACGTTTTACTCCGATTTCTATATATATATATATATATATATTTATATATTTATATATTTATATATTTAGGTTGCACATATATAGAGATTAGAAAATTTGAACTTGTGGCAAAAACTTAATTTCTTTATTCATAAAATTATTAGTCAGTCTCCACTTTAAAGTGTCGCAACACCTTGGCCTTTGGTTTTCACTCTTCAACTCTCTTATATTTTTTTGTAATTTTTAAAATTACAACACGCAATTCATTCTAGCTTAAGCTTAAAGGGAGTGATTTGAAAAATTTCTGCTCAATAATTGCGTAAAAGCGCGCGTGCACATCTTGGTTTGCAAGGGGTGAACCGATCACGCCCAAGAGAACCGGAACCGGAAACCTTTGACCGGAAATAGATGCTGACATTTTTTATTTTAAAAATGCACCAATAGGAAAATGCTAAAAGCATCGTAAAAAATAAGACCAAAACAATAATGAAAACTATTGATGACAATTAAACGTATCAGAAAAGGCAAAATAAAAATTCTTTTCAGTTTCTGATATTCATTTTTAAATTCCTTTGTTAAAACCTCAATGGGAAATATTTAAATTTTTAAATTGGTTGCGCATTTTATTGTGTCCTAAAATTCTTGGTAAAATTTACAATTTAAAGAAAATTAGATTTTCCAATTTATCATTTTCATTTTTATATTATTCTTTTTAAACATTAATTTTACATATTTTCTTTAAGCTTAATATTTATCGTATTTATCGTTGTAAAATATTTCTGGATTTAAAATTCATTTCATGAAAAGACATTATAAAAAGATTACAAACAATGCAACACTAATGAAAGATTTTTGATTTAAAATCTGATTTCTTTAAGCTCTTCTTTTTATATACACTTCTGTATAATCCAACACCAAATAAAGTTTATATGATTTAAAATCTGATTTCATTGAGTTCAATGTAGAAACCAATGCTTTAAGTTAACTAATGCTTTCTTTTACTAATTCAGTACGAACTGAACTCGAACGCCTCCTGAGACATACTTCACCGCAGCAAAGATCGAAACGGCCGAGGAATCATGACTCCACAAGATATGATGAAAAAGATGCAGTCTCGATTTTAACAAGGAACCGACAATGTTCCTTTCCTTGATATAAGATCTCTTAATTAAAATTTTCCATCTTTTATCCTAGAACATGTAGCCGAAATACTAACGAGAAACGGTCAATGTTTCTTTTAATAAAGCTAACATGAATTTTCTTTAATATTCTTCATACCTAAATCATTATGCCTTTTTCTCAAACTTAAATTTTGTAGCATCATTTTTAACTAGGAACGTTCAATGTTCCATGTTACGATGCTAACAATAATCTTCTTTGATCTAAACTCGCTCCCGTGCATTCTTATGTGAAAGCATGCACACCGTTAATTGTAGCATTTTCCATTTTGAGATAACACACACTGTGTTTGTAGTATCTCCTTGTCAAATCGCTCAAAAGTATGCTATCCTCTAATACACAATGTAGTTTTTTCTCTTGAACTGCTGCGCTGTCAGTACTTGAATATAATTTTAACAGCAATCAAGACATGAAAAAACCAAAAAAAAATTGTATCTATTAATTTCTGGATTTTGACCTTACCAAATTGTAATTGTATGTACACGATAATATCGCAAAAAAAAATTTTATCCATAATAACAAATTTTGTAAACCTGTAATAATCTCGATACATAAATAAATATCTAGATCTTAAAAAAAAAGATTACAAACAATTAAATCTCTAATTTCCACCGAATAC